ATGTGTGTTCAACTACACTACTGGTTTTCTGATTAGTAGATTAACCCGGAGTGACGTGTAAGTTTTAGGTTCCATGTTTCAATTCATCGAAACAATCCCACTCACTGTTGCACATAATGGCGTTCCAAGGTTGACCGTTTCTTGTTCACACTTGATAATCTCCTGCTGCCGTTTTCTGACCCCGGAAATGATGGAACGAGTGGCACGCACGGATGAGGAATCTTCCAACTCAAACTGTTTTCGATGCGGTGGTTTGTAATCATCACCCTCAATCGATCGGACACGACGAAGCAGATTATCCTCGTCCTCAAGTCGAGCACTGAATGTTTGCTGTCGCCGACCACGATGTACCGCATTCAGTCGAAGTGGATTCAGAGCCCAATCTGGTGTTATACACATGCCGCGGACATCACCTTCGGCACTGATTACCTGTGAAAAAGATCGAACGATGCGATCATTTCGGAACACCCGATACGCACAAGTCGATGGAACAAAAGGCGATGACGTATCTACAGAGCTTTCTAAGAGAAACAAAAGTATGAGACAAAGATACGAAGTTCAGACGTATCTGAATCGAGTAACATCGATCGTACAACTGTATACTCGTTCAAACGCACTCACGGTCAGCACCAGGCTTACGTCGAAAATGTATATAGTCTGTCCCGCTTTAGACTAAAGTGTCTTTTAATAGAAGGACCAAAGGGAGACAAGGAAAAAGAAATGATCCGGTCAAAAAACTTATTCGAATTACCACCATGACTGACTGCTTTCGTCAGTGATACATTGTAATCTCATGAAAATTACGGCGTTGATTGTTCATGTAGGCAAACGGTACTTTGGACGCCATGTGATAGCGCTGATCGATCACACGACTACTAATGTGCACACTAACCAACCGTCCTTTACAATTGGACCTTAAAAAACACATTATAGGACGGTTTTGTAATCACAAATCTGTCATCAGGATAATTTTATTTCATAAACCAAAATGCTTCTTTGCGGTGGAATGACTCAACCAAGTCAAGGGACCTTGAAGTGTCGCCCCTTGACCAGGAGAGAGGGTGCGGAGAAATCAGCTAGAAACTTTCTGTTTTCTTCAGAACAATAATGATACCAACAAGGCCACCAGTGAAAGAAGCTCATAATTCTGGTCTCTGTGGATTTGAACTTTGAATAAGTATTCTGTATTTCTCGAAAAATGCACATGATCTGGATTGGACATACAAACCAGTTGCCTTTGCGTTCGTAATA